ATGGCATCGATATCATCGAATAATTTGTGCAAATGTTGGAAAAAACTAGCCCGAAACTCTGACATCTTTCATCATCGTTGGCAGCTTGTTTACAACCTCCAGCGGCCGATTTTGTACCATATCTTGATCAGAGATCTCTTTTTGAAACAATTTCTTTGATTAAGGAATTTAATTTTGAAATAAAATAAATCAAGAATGCTAAAACTATCCGTTTTGTTGCTGGTTGGCACATTGTTAAGTTTTCCTAGAGACTTTGTACACCAGAAATTCACACAGTTGTTGTCTTTCTCTGCGATTTGGCATCGTCGTGAAATGTAAACTGTTTTCCAGCTTTGTACTTTATAACTTCTAAAGCTATGGCAGGAGCGAATTGTGACGCTCAGTAATAAAATGTGAAAACCAACGCTTTTAATATTAAGAAGGGCTGTGTAAGTAACTTGTTCTGTTTTTTAGCCTTTCTAAAATCGTTTGCAGATCAATAGCCGGTTTTGTTTATGGCTCGTGGTCCGGATGCCTTTTTCTATGGGTTTACCGGTATAATAAACCATAGGTTTTTGACCAATCAGATCACGCGTACTATCTCAGTTATTTTATAAAAGAGTATAGACAATACAAATAATTGTTTATTTGTTTAGTAGAAAAGAATGGTATAGCCATTTGTTGTTTAGGATAATAACGGTGAAAGATACTCAAGATGGAGAGTGGACCAAAAAGAGAAGATGCGCTCCTGAGAAGGGGCTTGTTAAACAGCGAACAGTAATGCCTTAAAATCGCGTCCACAGAGAAACTAAAGCCTTCTTATTTTCAATTTATACCGAAAAGCAGGTTGGCGAGAATAATGAAAACAATGCTTTTGTATGGCTAAATAACTGTTCAAAATTATATGTTAAGAAATGAGCGATTCTTAAAGAAGGGTTCATGCAGTACCCCAAACATTCGTCTCATTTTGAGATTTGTAAGAACTCTATTAGTAGCCAATAAGTTTGCTGTTTAACTGTAGAGGATTTTAAGTCAAAGGATTTTTTGAGAAATGGGACTTGGCTAGTGCTACTATAAACAAAATTTCTTAATGATATTTAAAGAATTCTTGCGGCTTATAATTGGCCTTAGAGGCTATTTTTAATAACATGATTTGACGATGGAATTAATTTTGTGTCCTGAAATACAAACCGAACTTCAATGAAAACAGACAAACAAAGTTCTAGAAAGTGAGAAATGTGGGTGTCAATCGCTAATAAAGAAAAAATGCAAAAAAACTTTGCTTTTCGTTGTAAATAGGTTCGTGAAAGAGTAAAGAAAGATTCCCTTCTGATAATAGAAAATAAATTCAATAGACTGTCAATAAGAAAAAGCTTATATGCAGATGTAGCAGGAGGACAGGCAGGGGAAAGTACAGTGCTGTCAACTCTTCCGAATAATCCGGGAAACTCCAGACTTTTTTGGACCGTATCTCCCGGTCTTCGAGATTAGAGTTTGAAATCTCCCGGATAATCGCCGAAATTTGCCATTTCTTCAGTAGACTCGACTTTCCGACGATAAAATTTCAACTATTTTGCGTTGTTTGAGCTATTTTAATGTTCACATTAAATTAAACGTTTGTTCCTAAACGGCTCCGGTATGTCATCATAATAATGTGATTGATGGGAAGTAAACCAGTCAGGTCATATGTTACAAGACAAAGACATCTTTGTCGGGCGATTGTGTCATCGCAAATTCATGAGGATGGGAGAGTATTTGATGCACAAATGACGTCATGCGCCCTGCGTTATGACGTCATCTACCATCCCTTTCCTATCAATTCTCAATATTTGAATACGTCGGGAGTTGACAGCCCTGAAAGTGCCCTTTATGCAAAGGAGTTTTTGATCAAATACTTGCTGTGGGCCTCAACTGCGCCAATAATAAACAAATGTACCGAATACAACAACCGCAATTTAATGACAACAATAGGGACTTTAAGATCCAACGACGCGACGGCAATGAGAACGTTGCTTAAAAAGTGAATTTACGTTCTTTCAGTCTTTGTCGCAATTATTCCTACCCACTTACTTTGTCAAATGTAGGCGAGCCGTCCTGGAGTTGAATTCTTAGGGACCATATGCAAGTACAGAAAGAGAAATTAAATTTCGTAGTTGCTTGTTTACGTCCTCCATACAACACGAAATTACGCGTTTTTACGTCGTAGTCGTGCAAAAACGGGCAGAGAAATGTACAAAAAAACGTGCTGCACGTGAAAAGTTGTTGTTTTGCTTATAAAACCTATTGTTTATTTGACCGTTCTCGTTGCTGTCCACGTCGTTGGATCTTAAAGTCCCTAATAACTGTATAACAACAACGAAATAAATACAACTTTATTATCTGATGGCAATAACAATACAATATACCTAGCGTATATTGTTACATCATACTGTGTCTTGGTCTAGAAGTGCCTTAAGAGGGTTATGCCACAAGTCACAAGGATATTGCTTTAGGTCTTTTTAAGTCGAATACAACGTGAAAGGGAAACGCAGATATGCAGATGTTAAAACAGGTCGAAACAGGACAAAAAAAGGTTCCCATTGTTTTAAAAGCAGTAAATAGTGAATTACGCGTGAGTAACGTTATGTACTGAATTATAGTGACTGAAATGCAGTAAACTTTGAGGCAACAAAAGAAGGGGGAGGGTGGGTGGGGAGCTGACAACCATAGCGTACATTGATCCTCCCATGTGAACAAGGGCTGGGATCGAAATTATAAAATTTACCATTTAAGGTATTCAGGGAAGTGCTGTTGTACTTTCAATTCCGATACAGAAGTTGCCATATAATGCTTCTTTCTTCATAGCTTTCTTTCTTTCTTGAGCCACATCCCAAAGCAACACTTGTGTATTTAAAAAAATAAATCACCCGAGTCCCCGGATGGATACCAAACTCTTCAATTCATGTACTCCTAAACGAAACTTTGAAATGTAGCATGATGTAAGACGCTCGTGGCAGGCGCATGCGCGCAAAAAGGCAGGACGAAAGGAAGAGTAGAAAGCGCAAAAGGGGAATCCCCTCTCTGTTTACGTGCACATTCAAAAACTCATTGATAATTCATAAAGAAAAACAAAAGAAATTAATATTTAATGAGTGTTTTTATATCTGAAAAAGGCACGGCTAAACTTTACGTCCAATTTTTTAGACCAAAATAACCCCAAATCTAAATATTAGTGCAAGAATGAGTTGATCTATATCAGAGATTTTGAAGCCGTTCAAAAAAAAAAACTCACAGGAGTGTATTATCAGGTTTAAAAACTCGAGGCGAAGCCGAAAGTTTTTAAACCGGCCCTGCTAAGTACTAGACTACGAGTAGTCCCCATTTTTCCTCAGGGATAGTATCGCCTTTTCTCGCGTGGGGTAATTTTCACGCGCGCTCGCGTTTCGCTCACTCTACTATCCCTGAGGAAAAATGGGGGACTACTCGTAGTCTAGCTAAGTACATAACTCGCCTTTGATCATTTCGTACCTAGTGAAACTTCAAATGAAAATTACTCAACAAACGATCTCCAATAAACTCGGTTTCTACAGAAGACTCTTAGAATGGTCATTCTTGGCCAAAATTATTTTGAAATATTTGTTAAACACAAGGAACTGTTTTCCAGAGTTTTATGAATTCTACTCTTGTGATTATATTACTTAATCCTTCTCATGCGGCTTGTTCAGACCCTTCTCATTACCTTTCCTCGCTAACCTACAAGCTTAGTTTAATTTTTATAATCGGTTGTTGCTATTTATCTAACAAAAACAAATACAATTGGTTAGGCACAGGAGACAAATTATTTAAAAACCACATTACGCCCGTTCATGCAAGTTTCATGCCAAACAAGGAGCCAAAAAAGTAAAGCAAATACTCCTCAGGACCGGAATCAATACTATATATCCTGATGAATACAGAGTTTCCTTATTTGTGAAACGGACACATGCCTCTATAAAAGCTCCAATGTTAACTTTTAGTCTATTTAGTTAGTAAACAGGTGAAAAAGGCTTGTTTAATTCGGTGTGCCAAAAAGCAGCATTTCATACCCGAATTTACCCACTGTCACACTCATGAAGTTTAAGACAGCAGTTTTAAAAGATGTTCATCCTGATAAAAATACTGAACCCGCCTTGGGTTTTCTAACCACAAGCCCAAGACAAAGTATGATGGAACAATATCCGTTTAGTATACTGTGTTGTTATTGGTATATAATAAAATTGTTGATGTCATCATTGTATTCGGTACATTGGTTATGGACTGACGCCCTTGATGACCACTTTGGTACTCAACTGAGTATCAATATTCAAACGCATAGTCCCCTTTATAAAGGAAGTTTCGGAGCAACATACTCAGAGTAGCACAACAGCCTTCATTACTTACGGCTTAACTTACTGTGGGGTGAGTAGAGAAAACGCCATGAAGACTCTTGTTCTGATAGCCCTAATAGTTGCTTTAATTGTGTCTCTAACACAAGCCTCAAATGTACATGAAGACCAAAGAAAATCAGTTGACGAGATACAGGACAAGGATGAGGCGAGTTATGCAAGCGAGACCGAGAGAACTGAAGACGACCTGAGCGAAGACAACGCTCCTGATGATGTTAATGACGACGAAGAAGACGAAGAAGACGAAGGCGATACGCAGGATGAAGGCGCTGGAGATGAGGAAGATTTTGATGATGAAGAAGATCTCGAAAGGTAATTTGACTTTGTAGGTTTTCTCCGATGATAAAACTCAGGTGTAGGGAGCGGCCAGGCGTTAGTTAGTCGACGGTGGGAACATATTCTGACTGACATGATCCTTGGGTCAATTAATAAAAGTTTTACAATTGTAAATTACAAGCGTGTCCATTGCTACACTCGAGCTAGCTACAATAGCCACACTTGTTAATCAAACTTGCAAATCTTTTATTAAATTTACCCCTGATAACTGAGCTAGAACTTGGCGAGCATCTCACTCGTATGGGTGAGAAACATCAAATTTAACAACGACCCTGCAAGTATCACTGCGTTATGTGACATAGCAGATTCACAGGCCTGTTTTAACTTTGTGTCCTCGGATGCGAAGCTTGCAGAATTCACCGAGATAAAGCTAGAACTTTTCAACGAGCTGTTTACACGCTGATAGGTAACACACCGTCTTTAGTCACAACTCGGTGAGAGGCGAGTGAGGGGCTGGCTTTTTCATGCCAGCGTGTTCCAAATTTTTGATAAAAACTGTCCAGAAATTAAACTTATGTACCCTCAATAATTACTTCTTATACTAGGAGCCCCCAAAAAGGATGATTTTTGGCGAAAACCATCACTGAGTAAGCTGCAAATACATTTACTTGTTGCCACTCTCAGCGGAGTAGTTCAGTAATTTATAAGTTTGAACAAGCGCACAGCACCTACTTTTACTTTGAGTTTTTGGACTTAAATTTCTGGTGAAATCATTCAAATGAGGCTTTTCAAATAGGTACTATTTTTATTTTACCTAAGTAACCAAAATTCGACATTTTTAACAACTTTTTGTCTTGTTTGTACAACTGATTCCAAGGCTGAAAACATAATCTATAACTAAAGGTTTCAATTGAATCCGCAAAATTTTAAAACTTAAACATATGACATTCGATGAAAATATCACAAACTGTTCGCGCACTTTTTTCTTTAAAACATCCTAAAAATTCTCATGTTCGCGCTTTGAATTCTCGATTCCTCGGACCCGACTATCTCGGAGCCTGGAACAGGCTAGGCTAGGAGGGTGACACAAACATCGATAAAGGGTGACCCGACCAGTCCGGGTCACCCTTCCAGGTAAGCAGCGGAATTTGGCTAAGTTTTGTAAGAAGTGTAGGAAAATTTGGTTTGCCCATGGGAGCGCGGGTAGGTGAGCGATCGGGCCTTACCCGGGTCTTGCCTAGTCCCCGTACGGCACTTTCCTAGGTCTTCTTGGTCAATGCACTTCGGTGACGTATCCGAGGCGAACGGCTTGGACCAGGTGGCCCATAGGGACTAGGCAAACCCGGGTCAAGGTTTCTCCATATAAATAGGAGAAATGCTATTTAACACCCTTTCAGACGCTGATTGAGGCAACAGTGATGTCTCTACACGAGTGGCGTGTAACTGTAATAGTCATTTTTTTTGTTTTATTATTTTTCATTTTTAGGGAAATGGACCGACAACGGGATCCGCGCTTTTTTACGGGCCCAAAACGATATGTAAGACTTCTAAAAAGACCTCGACGAAGAAACTTATTCCGGAAGTGGCGTCAGCGGTTAAGCTGGGGAAAGAGGTGATTTGTAAACTGTCATTTACTGAGGAGGAAGACAAGGCAGTGTTAAACACAACGAGAAGCTTAATAAAAATACCGGAATATGTCAAGGATCTCAAATTATTTTGAAAAATTTAAATAGAATTTTGGCTAGTATACTGTACCACCTAAACCTCCGGCATTGGTAGACGGGCCATTTTAATAGCCATTTTACATTACAGTTGTGGACTTAGTACCCTAGGCGTTCGAGTGAATGTGAGGCTGACGGTGACCTTGTTTTGATACAAACCTCCTTTGCTTTGTTATGGAAATTGTCCTTGAAAAATACTAGTTAGCATAAGAATGATTTACATAAAAAAGCAGGAAGGTTTGTATCAAAACAAGGTCAACTCCGGCCTCCCTTCCATTCATAACCGAAAATGGCCTATTCTGACTAATTACTAGCAAAAGCTCTATTTAGGCGTGTGCGCGTTTTCTCTCTCAGGAGTGGCTTGCTGTGTATAAATAAACGCGTGTGAAAGAAAAATTGTCCAGTCTGGCTGCCAGCGAGGATTGGATTAATGCGAAGCCTCTTGTGGGGGTGGGGGGGGGGGGGGGGGGGTTGGCCTACCCCCGTTTTTTTTTGTGGTTCGTTTTTTTGCCCCCCCCCCCCCCTGTTTTTCTTTTATCTTGGTCTAGTCCTATCGACTTCTCCCCTGCGGAATCGCTTGCCCCGTAACCCATCTCTGGATTCCCCGGCCCTCCTTGGTGTTACTGGGGAATAGATTACCACGGGATCTTNTGATTAACAAGAAAAGGCAGTTTTGTGTGTTCTTTTTATAGGAGGCCTTCATTGAAATTTAAAGGTAGGTCGAAGGTCCTTTAGTATTCTAGCGGAAATTTAGAAAGATATGACTAAAGCGACCTCCGAATTCAAAGCAGCGCGGAATAGTTTATTCCGTATCCCTAGAAAGAAACAAAAACATATAATTTCTCTTTCAAAACGCTTCAAGTCAGGTTACCTGAGAGGCCCTCTAATTACAACGTAGAGGAAAGAAACAAATTCTCAATTGGTGGCAAAAATGATGAGAAAGTTTGTGGCATATACGTACAAACTGTTGAATTTTTCCGATCTTATTATCATGCAGAACGTGGAGCAGTAGACTAATTTATGCGTTACTCTCGCCATATAGTAAGTTTGGACTGTCTGTAGTGAAAATTGCGAATTTTGCAAAACATGGCCGTCCAAACTCGGTTGCCATGGCAGCGTCAATGTTTGACATACACACAAGGTAACGTAAAAATGTTCTCACATAAAATTTAGGAAAAGTTGCTAAATTTGGCGGCCATAGCTTGAAAAGAGGGTCTCAAAAGCTTCTCCCCTCCCCTACCAAGCCGGTTGATGTTTAAAAGAGATACAATAGATTCCCGATTACACAAACCCTATCGATTTCTCAATCAAACCCAGGGAGACTAGGGATAGCTGAGCCGAAACTTTTTCATTCCCAGTCAAGCATGGTAATTTTACCATCGCTTTTTCGAAGTTTTCTTGAATTGGATTTCAAACCCTTACAGTAAGCAGGCACACTCTTCACACTTTCTCAACATAAATTGTTTATTCGCACGTAAATTTTACTGGCGTAAATAATCAGGAGGCAAGGAATGAAAAGTGGCGCTTAAACGTGAAGTTCACCAAGATCAAACTTTTACGTTTACCGGGCAAGACCTTTCATACATTGCGAACGTAAATTTTACACAGTCACGTACACACGTAGAAATTACGCGGCAGTGGAAATCCACCCTGATTCAAAAGCGATAAATTACAGTCGAACCTGTCCGGATGGACCATCTTTAGAAAGTAAGAACAGTACAGATGTTCTCAGGGACATTTAAAAATTTTATACAATTATTACCTCTATGGTACAGTCAAACCTCCAAGTGCGACCAACTCTCGTAAGCGATCACTCCCCACAAGCTACCACCTATTCGACACACTAAAATGTTCCCATTCAAAGCCATATAATCAGATTAGAACCTCTCCTAAACGACCACCTCTCATAAGAGTTCGCGACCACTTATTGGGAGATGAGAGAGAGAGAGATAGATAGTTTATTTGTAAAAAAGCTTGCAGCTACTGAGCTGAATTGTGTATTTACAATATAATATATAATATAATATAACAGAATCTTACAATAGTGAGTATAACAAAATGATAATGATAAAGTCCTAAATAAATAATAATAACATCCTATAAATATAAAAAAACTTAAAACTGTTAAAATATATACAACCTCATCGATCTCATTTACAAAACTCACCGAGCGCTAAAATTCGGCCTGATGTTTTTGTAGTTTTTGATTGTTATTTATCTCATGAAAGCGACCACTTGATGCCGATTGTGTGTACTGTTCTCTTTGTTCACTCTATGTACTACGTTGCTCAGAGGGGGTATAATATATCCTTCAGGAAATTATATACTTTGCAATGAAAATTGGATTAAAGCGTAACAAAGGTGGGGTTTTTTTGTCAACAAGAGAACAAGAGAAATTGAGGACATGTATTACGATATATTCCCGTAGTAACTTACTGAGAGGAAAACGCCATCATCAAACTAAGTGATGGTTAGACCCATGTTGGGCGTGGCTCTAGTGCCTACATTCATTTTTGAGAGACTTTATTTCATAAACTGGTTGATGGACCTTTTCAAGAGGTTTTAGTGATTATGTGGAAATCTTTAACCTTCTAGTCGATAGTGACAGTGGGTGACTGAATTCGGGTATGTAATGCTGCTTTTAATTCATGACGCAATTAAACAGACTTTCACTTCCTAAATATTAAGATAATACAGAATTTTAATCTTGTAGAGGAATGCGCGTTACGTTTCGCGTGCTGGGTCCTTGCTGTTTTTCGTTACACATTAAGGAAACAGTATCGATTCCTGAAGCAAAGTTGTTTTCCATTTGTTACTCTTTTTGTAAACATTGATATTTTTGAAGCCAAAGGTTGTTGTTGTTGTTATTTCAAATTTGTGTCCATGGCCTATCCAAACGGTTCTCACTCGTTCGCCGCGTTTACTTCAGCTGTTTACTTGTGACTGATATCGATTTGACACTCGTAGATAAATTCCATATCCAGCAATTTAGAGTATACTCTGTATTTGAACCTAACTTTAACATAACTGCAATATGCACTACTTGCAACAAAACACAATAGCTTAGAGAGGAAATTGACCCTTTGAGGATTCTAAATTTATTGTTCTTCAGTTGGTGGAAATTTTTTTTTTTATTTTTGCAGTTCAATTGCCGATCAACATCATGTGACGTTTGGAAAATTCACTTAAGTTTATTTTTCGAAATCACGATCTAAAAAAGCATGCGCAAAACAGGAGGGGCATTTGACCGCTACATTGGGCTAATGTAATGGGAATTTGAACGGGCCTGTTTTAAAAAGTTCAGATGCTCCGGGGGTTGGCCGGGGGGGGGGGATGATGAAGTTTCTAGGATACAGGTCATCATGATTAGATCCCCAACAGAGCAAAGGGCTTTCTAGGCTTAGTTTCTTTTCTTTTGACATATATTCTTGAACGAAAGAAACACCTGTATCGGGAAATATTGGGGGCAGAATTACAACCGGGAACATCAAAAGAGATTACAGTGTTACTTCTTCGGTACAGGATTTAATCGATTTGAGAAATAAATTTTTTGCATATTCCTTCGGTTATCCGGTTAATATGAATTTAACTGAAATATAATCAAAACACGACACGATAGTCAGACGCTTTTTAAGTCAATTCAATGACCATTGCCAATATCATACCAATTTTGTTGTGATTTGTTTTCACTTCTCCTCTCCTTATTCTCTCTCCGGCTTTGCCGGCTCGAGCAGCCAAACTTTTCCCCGAATGACTTGCCCAAAGTGAGCCTGCTCACAAGATACTCTCGGCTGCCCGTGGTAATTGGTTGCCATCAGTTGGAGAATGTCTCAAAAAGCCCACCCACACATTCCCCAACCCGACGGTCTGGTATATTGAGGTCTAGAGTAGAATGGAGGGGAACCACCCGGCATCGAAGCTAATCAACCTTTAATTTTTTGATGGTCATTCAGATATGATACAGAGTAGGCACATCGAAAGCAACAAAAACAAGTTAAAATAAAGGCTGTTTTGGGGGTGGGTCATATTTAAAACGCATTACATAACTTTATATGATGGTGTTTACAAGGAGTCCAGCAAAAATCCCATTCAGTCTCGAACTTTCGATTTTTCAGTCAAACCTTGCGATAGTTCGAACCGAAACTTCTCCCCAGGACTTTTCATTCTAATTAGTCATGCACAGTAATTTTACCTGGATTTTTCGAAGAAACTTCTCTTTTTCCAGAGGATTTTTCATTGCCTAGTCCCTAGGCCTCATTATTCCGCGCGGCCAATGCCTTTCGGATCACGTGGTCCGAGCGAAGAAGTGAAGCGGTTTCCCGCTCGTTCTCCTCGGATACGTCACCGAAGTGCATTGCCCGAGAAGACCTGGGAAAACGCCGTACGGGGACTAGGGAAGAAATTAAATACTCTTACTGTAACCAGACACAGTCTCCACACTTTCCTCAACAAAAATTTTTTATTTTAAGCAGTTCACTCTAGTTTAACAAATATTCCTAATTTAACATATTTGTCTTTCAATCTTCCTCATCAGTAAATGGTCGTTGAAAAATCACTTTTTTCCTATTTTTCCGCCAAAACGCCCGCGTGGGATTCTCGGGCTTGGAAAGTGGATTCGGCGTATCCTTCGCAGCCTGATCTTCCGGATTTTTGGCTTTTTTGGTTTCTTGATCCGGACTGGGGCTCTAAAGTGTGGAGTCTTCCGGATTGGCTGGACTCCGATAAGCTTTGCCTTTGCGTCTTGTTTTAGGTCTATTTTCCTGATATGGAATCAACAGAAGGCAAACGATTAAGCATAGCAGCAATAACAGGCAACTTTTAACAGCACTAGATCGCGGCAATCTTACAGGAACTGGGCTAAACAGTCTATCAGAAATCACTTTACACTGCAATTTCAATGAACTTTTACATGTAACTGGTGTCCTCATCAATATTTGTCTCTCTTCTACACGATTCGAAGTAGCCTGCTCGCGGGCTAGGTTGGAAGTTTCCATTACTC